CCTTTGCAGAGATAATGTGAAGTAACTTTTTTTTGGGGGGGGGGGGTGTTAGGTATTGACTTAAATCAACAAGCTTGCTTAGCTGTGTTTAATAACATTATACAAGAAATTCTATGTGCCACTTTCTTAAAAGCATTTTTTTTCTACACAGGATCCTATGTCACTGAGTCTCAACCGAAAACATGTTTTCCTGCCAGCCGAAGAACTTGTCATCCATAAAATGGCACCTGGGGAGCTGGTCCTTTTTCTACAGCATGCAGGAAATGTGCTTAATTTTCATAGTTGCTATGCTCATTCCTCTTAGGTGCCTGATGAGTAGTTTTCGAATTTGCAGCCATTAGCCCAAGGGGATTCTTGCAAAAATAAATGTTACTGTCTTCGAAAGGCTTCCACAGTGCACAGAAATCTCAAATTACTGTCTTCAAACGGCTTCCGCGTCACAAAGAAATTTCATGGCTTGCTCTCAATGCGACTGAGAGCAAGCCATGAACATGTTAATTACTTGGACAGATTATAAAATCTGTCTGAAGCAAAACGGTGCTGAGGATAAACCTCATTATAGAAACACATTATAAATGCAAGTTATACTGAAGCTATGGCATCTCACGCTTCATTATTCCATTTGTTTTTCTTTTTCAACACCCTATGGAAATTACCACATCAATCAAAAGTGGACTATTAATATTTGAACAAGAATGGGTCTTTGGGTCAACATCACACAGAAAAGGAAAAATGGAAAAGCAAAATAATATAATAGAAGGAACCAAAGAAAAATCAATTGCTCTGAAGTTGGTTAACCTTCCCATCCAGGAATAGAAGTTCTCATAGGACAATACCTTTGATGGGGAATTAAAGAAGGCCTGGATTCTACACTTGGATTGGCCTCAGTGGTCTAGATAATCCCATCCAAAAGGAAGGTTTCTAGGATTTATCATGAAGTTAATCTATTCTTGGAACAGAGCGATGGTAAATAAAGAGTATCCCTTGTCATCCTGAGCAGGAAGTGGCTACTTGGTTCCATATACTATTTGCTGAAGTTGTTTATCCAAAACATAACTTTCTTCAAGTGAAGGCATCTAGGTAACATCACCAGACATGATCCTGTTTTGGTCACCACATTACAAAAAAGATGTTGAGATTTTGAGAAAAAATGCAAAGAAGAGCAATTAAGCAAAGGATGTAAAGAAGAGCAATTAAGATGATTAAAGGCCTGGAGACAAAAACATATGAAGAACGGTTGACGGAATTGGGTATGGCTAAGGAAAAGAAGAACTAGGGGTGACAGGACAGCAGTGCTTGAATGTTTGAGGGGCTGCCACAAAAAAGAGGGGGCCAACTTATTTCCCAAAGCACCAGAAGGCAAGACAAGAAGCAATGGATGGAAAATGAACAGAGAAGCAGCCAAATTTCCTGACAGNGGATGCAAATGACCAGCTGTCTGCAAGGAGTATCAATCCTTCCATTCCCCACCATCCAGTCAGAGCTGAAGAAGCTTCTTGGAGGAGAAGCAAAACGTCTTCCAAAGAAAAACCAGAAAATCCATTTTCCTCTTGAAAAAAAGGACCATTGGGATATCACCATGGAAAGATCCCCATGATTACCTGTATTGATATGGGAGTTCCTCTCCGTTGGGCAGGTGAGGAATCTCTGGGGGAGTTACGAAGACGGTGTGCTCACTCTTGTGGGACTCATCGAGTTCTATAAGCCGCGTGTCACCTGTCTTGTCTATATCCACCTGTCCAAAACGGATAAAAATACATTATATTCCTTGCCAGGAAGTTAAGAATCCTTTATTCGGTGAGCTTTTGCAAACAGTTGCCAGGATGCAGATTAAGGGATAATGTTAAAAACCTTTATTAAAAACTACTTTGTTGGTATTATTTGTAATTCTATAATCTGGTAGAAAAAGAGGATAATCTTCTTGCATTTTTTTCTGGAAGGACTCTATCAGATTGTTTTCAACACATTTCTTTCAAAAGATACCTGCTCTGTGAAGAGACTGCTGTCATGCAGTGTTTCTCAACCTTGCGAACTTTAAGATGCGTAGACTTCAACTATCCAGAATTCTTCAGCCAGCATGCAGAAGAATATACATTTTTAAAGTGGTTATGTTTGAGAAAACACAGGCTTTACACTGCACACCAGAACAACTAGACACAAGGACAGTGTTTCCGCCACCCCATGTCACCACTCTGCTAAACAAGTAACTCCCACAACACTCTCAAACTATTTAGTAAGGCTGTATTACTATTATTCTTTTAATCTTTCCTATTACCTATCTCTTTTTTCTACATAACTTTTACTTGTATCTTTACAGTTTATATTGTTTTATTTAGTTTCCTAGTATGATTTATGTTGATTGCTTATATAGTATCCTATGGCTCTCAGTAAGTGTTGTATCTTATGATTTATGATGAATGCATTTTTATGATGACTATGATCATGATTATAGCTTTTATGTACACTAAGAGTTTATGCATCGAAGACAAATTCCTTTTGTGTCCAATCACACTTGGCCAATAAAGAATGCTATGTTCTGTTCCGTTCCATTCCATTCCAATTCTATTCTCTTGCAAACATTTTTGCAATTGTTCAGCCCCTTTGCAGAGATAATGTGAAGTAACTTTTTTTTTGGGGGGGGGGGGGTGTTAGGTATTGACTTAAATCAACAAGCTTGCTTAGCTGTGTTTAATAACATTATACAAGAAATTCTATGTGCCACTTTCTTNTTAATTAAATGCTGTAACTTATCTTTGGCTTGGAGTGTGTATTGGTGTGGGACGAGGGGGGTCAGAACACATGACTATGGATAAGCCCATGTGATGGAAAGGATGCTGAACTGGCTTGGAAAACAAGGGCTGATCAAAGACAGGGAAGTGAGCTGGTATTTCCATCTTATCTGATGCCAAATATTCACTTTACCTTATTGTAGTAACCATAGGTGATGGCATTAGGATCAATGCCAGCTTTCTTCATCTCAAAAAGGACTTTCACGGCTAAGACAGGCTGACCGTATTGCCCACAGAGCTGCATCAAGACCCGGTAGCATACCTGACCAAAAGAGAGAGAGAAAGAGAGAGAGAGAGAGGGAGGGAGGGAGAAAAAGAGGGAGGGAGGGAGAAAAAGAGGGAGGGAGGAAAGGAAGGAGGGAGAGAGGGGGAGAAAAAGAGGGAGGGAGGAAAGGAAGGAGGGAGAGAGAAAGAGAGAGGGAGAAAAAGAGTAGGGAGGGAAGGAAGGAGGGAGAGAGAGGGGGGGAGGGAGGGAGACAGAGGAGGGGTTGTTATTTTTTCACTCTTGGAAAACTAACCCACCCATCAAATGGCCTCACCTGCCAGAAAGCCTGTCCCTTTACCTCATCGGGTGGCTCTATTTTTTTCGTGTGCATCTTGCGCAAGACATCGTAGGCCGTCCTGAGGGCCCTCACTTTGGAATGGCAAACACGGATGTAAGCAGGTAGGCAGATAAACCACAAGCCGTAGCAATGGCGCAGCAAACACCTGGACCACATCTGCGGGATGGAGGAATATCTCTTGGCTATCTTGTGCGCAGACTTGATTTCCTGCCGAGAGAGGCAGAAAGGAAGAGGTTAATCACAGCTGCAGCACCACGGTTATTGGGAATACTGGACCAAATACTGGGATTTCAGAGTTCGTTGCAGAAGTTAAATCCAGGAAGCACACACAGGTAACTGATTTAGCAGGATTCATTAACTTTTTATATATGCTATATTGCCAAAAATATTCGCTCACCCATCCACATAATCAGAATCAGTTGTGAGCGAATACTTTTAGTAATATAGTGTACATAATATAACACATGAGACAATATCAAGAGTGGTTCTTCCAACGTGGGAGAGAGTACAAGCAAACACAGGCAGAGGAGAGAACAGTTTCCAGTTTTAATTCCAGCAGCAGACTAGTTAAACTAGTTCTTAGCTTTTGCACAGACTCAGAGATACAGAGCTAAGCCACGCCAGGCTCCAAAGTGTTTCAGTTCCCATTGGCTGACCTTGTTGCTATGCCCTATTCCAATTCATGAATATACTCTGACAAATGGGAGGTTAGATTATAATACCAAGTGAGGAAGGAGGGTCCTGGCTTCTCTTTAAAATCCACCACAAACCTTCAACCTTTGTTTGGGTCACTGAGAAGCAGAGAGCTTCTACTACATGATTGCAGGATTAAGTCTTACAACACCTCAGATGCACCTCATTTTAACATCCAATTTAATTTCATTCTTTTGCCATTATTATTATGATATCATTCTTAATTCTCTTTTGCTTTGCCATTGTTCTATCATTCTAATACAGTATACACATTAATCCCATCCTTCGTTCTAAAATTAGCTTTTTAAAAGTAACACTTTTTTCCTTAGCATACTTTTTTTGTTAGTAAAGTTTAATAAATTTATCCTAAGAATCATAGTTTTGGAATCTGGCCTTACACATTTTGCCTGTTTATCTATCGTATCTATCGTATTTATATGGCTGCTCAGTTAAAGCAACTCTGGCTTTAGCATTTGTTATTTGAATCTTGCTCACTTTGAATCTTGACCAACAAGACCTAAATATATATATATATAAAGAAATAGATAATTCAAAGTCAAATTTAAAAAGAGAGGAATATCTTCATTGTTATGTAAATGATGAAGTATTAATAATTAGAAATCATAAAACTCCACATGGCCGTTGTTGAAATTAAAGGTACTGGTTGCTTTTCCAGACATAAAATCAACAAAGATAATACAAAAACTTGATTTCAAAGGAAAAAAATTGTGAAAAAAGACCATGCTATAACAAAATATCCAGTGAAATGTTTAAGATTTTACTTGATGGGATACAATAAAGACATCTTTTTAAAAAAAATTGTAACAAATAATAGGAAATAAAAGAAGACATTGAAAGATGAAAAGCTTAACATTTTCCAGGCTGAGATTTACAGCAGGAATAAAAATAAAAGTATTGCCTGAGATGAACTTATTACAAATGGCACCAATTCAAATCCCAGATTAAAACAAGTTTCAGAATTGGCAAAGAATAATTAATAGATTGATATAGAATTGGGAAAAAGAAGAGTAAGATTCAAAATTTTGTAAGTCACAGAAGGGAAAAGGGAAAATTAGTTTTTCCCAATTTCAGATTATATTATTAAGTATGCCATTTATCATGCCACTTGAATGAATAAAAGTTCCTATTTGTAGAATATAAACTAGAAAAAGAGCAGATTTAGCAAATGGCTTTCACGGATATTGATGATGTAAAGGAACAAAGAAGACAATTATCTGAAGTGACATAAAAGGAAACCTCCTTAAAGGCAAGGATAAATCCAACCATTTTACCACTAGCATCACTGTCAAATGCTTCTGATTTCAAAAGCAATGATGGCAAGAGAGATCTGATGACATATGTCAACATGATACATCTCAAGAAATAGACTAAAGGCACAACAAAAATTGCAAACTAAAGGAATCTACCATGGCTATTATATTTGCAACTGGAAAAATAAAAACTGATTGTAGACCCTGAGAAAGATGAAACATTTATACAGGATCAAAATTATCCACTAGGAACGTAGGTACAAATACATTTTGGGGCAGAATGTTTCAGAAGAAATGCTTGTATTTGCCACTGTAATATAACCTATAAAAGAAAAAGAAACCTCTTGTCTTAAGCCGCATGTGCCACTTTCAACCCTCTGTTGCGGCTCCCTGTTGCTCAAAATATGCGTCACAACCACCAATGTGTGACTCCTGCCAGCATGCAATTTATTGAGCTTTTTGACCCCCGGTAGGCCAACCATGGATAAATACAAGAAAATGAAAGTTTCGGGAAGAAAACAGAGTGTTTAATTCAACTACATATGCTAGTTTTGTGGCGGCTCAGGAAATAGTCAACAAGAAGGGTTTTGTGGCTCCTGGTGTTTTCTTTTCTGTGGGAAACGAATCCAAATGGCTCTTTGAGTGTTTAAGGTTGCCTACCCCTTGTCTTAATATTATCCAGATCAGATTTTGGATTCTTGCTGTGGGACATTCAGCCTAGATAAAACTTTGTAAAGAAATTGAATGACATTTACAATCTTCTTCAAGGAAGGCAAGCTTCTAGGCAAGCTATCGCAGCAGCAATCCCAGGAGATTTTAGGGTCATCTAGTTTGTTATTTCTATCTTCACCTGTGTTAATGCTGCATTGTATCACAAGGATATAAATTACCTGTTTTGTTCTTCTGAACACTGGCAAAGGACTGTTTGGGCTGCTGACTTTCGAAGACAATTTGCTGTTTTGTATTGTCAGAAGTCCTGCTGGCTGCTCAAATAAATTTTGCTTCAGTACCGGAAATCCACTGTAGCTGAAAAAGAGTAAAGCATGCTTTTATTTACTTGTACTCAACAAAACCCCTGAAGGCTCCTTCGTACTTTGCCATTAAGGTAGAAAATCTGGAGCATGTCTAAAATGCTTAAGAGCCAAGGTGGCGCAGTGGTTAAATGCAGCACTGCAGGCTACTGCTAGATCAGCAGTTCAGCGGTTCAAATCTCACCGGCTCA